CCTCCCGGCAGCAGAGATCTGTGGCGGCGGATCGGGCCGGGCACCAAACCCCTAAACCCCCGATCCGCGACGAGGAGCGGGTGCGGTGGCCGGAGCCGCGGATCGCCGGAGCTGAGAGGGGGCGCCTGTCGCAGATCTGCCGATCCTGGCGCCGGACATGAGCTCCTCGGTCGAGAAGGTGAGCTGATCCGATCCAGAGCGTGTTTTCCGTGCCCGATCTGTACATGTGAAGCAGGGATTTGGTGGTGATCTGACGTGTTTTGCCTCGATCTGTTGGCAGGGGAGCGGATCGCTGGATCCCGGCGAGCGCCCGGCCGCCGGCAGCCAGCCCAAGGCATGCACCGCCTGCAACACCACCAAGACGCCGCTCTGGCGCGGCGGACCCTCCGGCCCCATGGTGAGTGCCGCAGATCCCTCCCGATCTGCTATCTAACCCCTCTGTTTACCCCCGATCTGTGGTTTCCCGAGCTGATCTACGGCGGCTGATCTGTTTTTCTCTCTCCCTCGATCCAGTCGCTGTGCAACGCGTGCGGGATCCGGTACAGGAAGAAGCGGAGGGAGGCGATGGGCCTCGAGGACCCTCCCAAGAAGAGGCAGCCGGCGGCCGCCGCCGCGCCCGCGGCGTGCTCGGAGGCCGGCGGCGAGAGCGCGGATCCGGAGCAGCAGCAGCCGCAGCAGGCCAAGAAGACGACGACAACGACCAAGAGGGGGCGCGAGGTGGAGCTCCGCGTGGTGGGGTTCGGCAAGGAGGTGGTGCTGAAGCAGCGGCGGCGGATGCGGCGCAGGCAGCGGCTGGGCGAGGAGGAGAAGGCGGCCATCCTCCTCATGGCCCTCTCCTCCGGCGTCATCTACGGCTGACCCAGCCCCACCTAGCTAGCTAGCAGCAGCAAGCGGAGAGAGGAGAAGAGAGATGAGAGGAGATCCAGAGTGTGAGTGATTTGCTCGCTTGCTGCTGCTTGCCCAGCAATCAAGCAAGCATGCAGGCAGAGATGTTGCGGCGTCTCTGCCTGCTCCCCCTTGTTCTTTCCTGCTAGTTTTTCCGGCTGATTAGTTGTTGAATAACGAATGAATGAACGATGATGATGCAGCTGCAGCAGCAGCAGCTGCTGTTCTTCGCGCCAGCTTTAGCGGCTTTGTTCTTTCTTCTTGCCTAGTAGCAGCTGTGATGTTACCAAGTAGTAGTAGTAGCGGTTATCCTAGTAGTAGTGGTAGTGTGTAACATCTCAGTGTGAGAATTGAGAGAGCTTTATGAATGATGAACCATCTTTGTGGCTCCAGATGTGCGCAATGCTCCCCCTTTTTCACCTGAAATCTATCCCAGCTGATCTGATGTTGATCTTGATGTGGTGAGTCTTTGCGGCTCCAGATCTGTGCAAGCACACTCTCTTTTCCACCTGAAAGCGGGCTTCATTCCGGCTCCAGATCTGTGCAAGCGCCCGCCTTTTCTTTTCATTCCATTCCGTTCCGGTGATGGTATTTTCCGCCTGGAAAAGCAGGCAGTCCATGGTGGTCTTTCACCACTGCGGTGCTGCTGTCACCAGCTAGCAGCCCACTCACTGACACTGGTAGGAGTGGAGTGGGGTGGAGGAATCCAACCCTATCTACTCCTACTGGAGTAGTATCCCGATGTGTGACCTAGCGGGCCGCGGGGAGAGGGTGAAAGGCGGCATGGAATTTGATTTGCTTGCTGGGGAGGGTGCAGGCAGAGCATGAGCACCCCATCCACAGGGGGATCCCGTGATTGCTGCGTGCATCTCTTATCTTGTCCGTCCCGAGCCAGATGCGTGCCCATGTTGCGATGGATGGATAATAATGTGACCGGCCTGCCTGCCTGCCTGCGGCCCGTGGGTATCTTGTCATCCTGGCTGCTGGTTTGTTCCGTTTTGTTTGTGTTATTGTTCTCGTCCTTTTGTTTTGTTTTGTTAGTGGTGCTCTGCTCTCCTTCCAGCCGACGGCGTGTGCGTGCGTGTGGTTTGGGCGTATGATATGATATGATGTGGTGTACTGGTCTGGTGATGGATCGGACGGCCGCGTCGTCCTACTTTGCGTATTAATAGTGTGACTGTGCTAGTACCGGTAACAGTTTTGGAATCGGGCCGGGAGCTGGGGATGGATGGGTGGTTTGCGGTGTTGTGTCTAGGTATTTTCTCCTCCGATGGATGGGTGGTTTGGGGAAGGAACGAGGTGGATAATAAAGGCGCCCATTCTTGTGCCCGCACCCTTTCTCCTCCTCTCATTCTTGGACTAGTAGAGACCTGCTGTGCCCCACGTTTTTTTCCTTCAAAATCCCCACCCATATATATTAATTAATCAACAACATTCTTACAATCATTTATTACTACCCCCCAAAGTTAGTACAATGTTGAGACACTTATTTTACGACGGAGGGAGTGCATAGTTTGCCACGCAGGGCAGAACACCATTGCAAACCACACCATCGGTCCTGCTATTGAAACCAAACCTAGCATTCTCATGCGCCATCATGTTTGCCTGCTCATCAATCTTCATAATCTTAAGATCCTCCATAAACTTTGAGACGCTCATTGCTTCCTTTCTCAGATCAACAAGAGGAGACTTGTCCATGGTTTCTTTTGCGAGAGAAGATGCAACAAAGTGGGCAATCAGTTTTCAGAAAAAAAAATTGGTTTGTCAAGTGTAATACCAACATATAACCCGCGGAGGCACGCATCAAGTTCCACTTCATCCACACAGGTACACGACCGAATAAAAAATCCCACGAAGAAACCATGACTTCGCCCACATGATTCCCGGCAGCAACACCTACGCTAGCAGATCTCATGCTCTCCACAAAACTAGCGTCAACATTTATCTTAAAAAAGTCGGGATCAAGAGGCTTCCAAAGAACACGTCCACGGATTAACATACCTCTAATTATCTATCACCCCCTTACATTTGTTGCTTAAATCCACCTGCACAAAGGTGCTGGCTGATGTG